GGACAGTAATGAGGTGCCCCTTCTTATCCCCATGGGGATGGTATGAGACAAGGCCTAATAGAGAGTCAGGACGTTCACCATCTGGTTAAGAAGGCCATCCCCTCCCAGGAGTGTCAGTATAAGCCATGTGGCGAACAGTAAGGAAGCAAGGTAGTATCAGCGGAGGAGTAGAAAAAAGCTGAAATCTCCACCCCTGCCTATCAGCCAAAAGGAGTCCTACTTTGTGTGTCAATGGACCAATTCCTTGAAAGCTCACAACTTATCTAAAATGGAAATAGGCCATTTGAATAGCCCTGTAATTATTAAGGAAATTGAAATCGTAATTAAAAACTTCCTAGAAAAGAAATTGCCTGGCCACATTGTTTCATTAAAGAATTCTACCTAATGTTCAAAGAAGAATTAACACAATCTCTTCTAGAAAACACAAAAATGAGTACTTCTCAATTCACTTTATGAAGCTATTATCACCCTGATGCAAAACCAAGAAAAGGGCAGTACAAAATAGACCAAAACAAACAAACAAATGCTACAGACTAATACATGAATATAGACACCAAGCTCCTTAACATATTAGCAAACAGAATTCAGCAATATATAAAAAAGCTCAATTTAATCCAGGGATGCAAGTTTAGTTCAATACTCATGAATCAATTAATGTAATCCACAATATTAACAAACTGAAAAAAATATTTATATGATCATATGACTCTGTATAGAAAAACTGTCTGGTAAAATTCAATACCTGTTCCTGAGAAAAACTCTCAGGGGGGAAAAAGGAAATAAAGGAAAACTTTTTCAGTTAGATAAGGAATATCTACAAAAATTCCTAGAGCAAACATTATTATACTTAATGATACAAGACAAATGCATAATGCACTGCCCCTATTATCGGGAACAATATAAAGAAAAAATAATTCTAAGAAAGTATTTGTATTACAACAACAGGACAGCAGAAATTGAAGCACCACGGTCAAAACTACCTTCCCCAACATACAAACATTCCTGTGGGGGAAGTCGCTGTCAGGGTTAAACACAATCCTTTCATTCCACACTCCAGCCACACAGGGCCTAAGAATGGGTGCCACCACTCAGTGCTGTTTCCTCATCACTCCCTTGTTACTGATTTTATCCTGCATTTGCTTTCCGACACCACTGGACACCAGTTCACCAACATGCTATCTCCCTGCTCCATGAGTTCTCCCAAGGGGATTATTATACTTACACTTATACGACTCTCTCATCATTGATGTTTCTCTTTCTCTCTCTCCCTCTCCCTCCCTCTCTCTGAAATCAATAAAGATATATATATTTTTTAAAAAGGATATACTTATCAACATAAAGTGGAGGTGATCTTTTATTTGAGATGGAAAACTAAGGGTAGCATAAGTCTTCCCTTTATCATCCCTAGAACAAGTAACCTACTTCCGAGGAAGTGAACAATTTACTTTTCAGAAACCTTAACTGTGAAACACTGCTGGTTAATCATCTCCAGACAGCTTTCACTGATGGCTGCTCCCCAGAAATCCCTTCCATCTGCCTCCCAGTTATCACAGGAGGATCGCCATGGCCCTACTGCCAGATGGAGAGGACCAGGTACAGAGATGCAATGAAAACTTTCTGACAAATCAGACTGAAGCCCACAAGGGCCTTCTTTGAGCTTTACCTCACTGATACGAGAACTAGCCAAAGGCTTTTCTTAGTCCTATTGTAACATTCAAAACCTTACAGCCAAAGGGATCACAGGTAGTAATCAAAGGGTAATCAGCACAGTAGGGAAAGGCCACACAGTGATCTCTCCTGAACAAGGACATTTCATAATGATGAGAAAGAGACTTGATTAGAGTTTTCAAAAAAAAAAAAGCAAAATATAAATTTACTTTCATAATGTATCTTATATTTACCAAAGTTTAGGTTACACTTGCAACTATGCACTAATTTTTAGGACAATCAACTGGTAGAGTTTGGGATGTAATTTTGTAAACAAGCTATAAAACAGCGTAATATAACAACTCTAACTTCATATTTGCCTTTTGCAACACAATTATATAAAAGTCATTTTTACCCACAACAATTTAGTAGACTCTGCTTTTGTGAACAAAAATAAAACTTTCAGAAACTAAAAAATTAAAATAAAATAAAAGTCAATTTTTGGAAAAAAAAATAGATACATACACTCCATCATTTATTCCCCCGGAGCCTCTCATACACCCTTAAGAAATGTTTAAAGCACCTCTCTCACCATCACCCTGCTGGTTTTCCTCATCAAAACTTAACTGGTCTAACACTGCCAAATTCTCACCAGTGTCTCTCTTTAAAGAAAACTGTAAACAGTAGAGTGCACAGATCTTAGGTGTGCAACTTGAACTCTCACATGTACATACACCCCTGTAATGGCCACTCATCTCAAGACATAGAAAATTTCCAACATCTCAGAAGGTTCCTTCATGCTCCTTCCTGGTCATTACCACTACTGCCACCGCCACCCAAAGGAACCACTATTCTGACTACTTCTACCACCAGGAAATAGTTGTACCTGTTTTTCGGAACTTCAATTAAATGGACTCATACAGTGCTTATGTTCTGAGCAGTTTTTGACCTTGCTCTGAATTCATGAAATCCTGCATGGTTGCAAGGTTTGCAATTTCGCCTAGCAGTTGATTTGGAATGTGTTATGTTGTTGGGTTCCAGACAACTCCAGTGTCCTGAGTGTTTCAGTGGAGATCAGCTTTATAACTGGAGAACTCATTGTGATTAGTTTCATATTATAATGACTTCTGAATGAATGTATTAAAAACAATGTAAAACAAGGAAAAGACTCGAATACCCATTATTCTTGCATTTTACCCCAAACAGGACAGATAATGCTTTCTACTCCTTTTGTGTGGCTTTTCTCCAATCTCCAATGGAGCCAACTTTACACTAGATACTGCTGATTTTTGATGATATAATTAAAGTTTTCTGTAGTCTCAGAAATCAGAGGCCTAAAGGAAGTTNGCTGATTTTTGATGATATAATTAAAGTTTTCTGTAGTCTCAGAAATCAGAGGCCTAGAGGAAGTTAGATATCTAGTTTTGTTACATATTATCTGACGCAACAACCTTAAGGTTTATGATTCTCCCAAAGCCCAGTAACAACTGCCTGCTCTACCCTTTTCTTAAAAGAGTTGACAGTATCACCCAATAACTATAGTGACCAAAACAAACCTCACTTTTCTGTTTACTGTCAAGCAGGTGTTCCCTCCCCCACCTTATTATTCTTCACACCAGGTCAATGTTCCATTCAAAATTCGTGTGGTAGACTCTGAACACAGCCAGCGCCCTGGCTTACTCCCTCACCATCTCTGGTCTGGAGTATAAATACTATCCTCCTCAACTGGTCTCCTCCTTAGGTTGTCTTTCACTCTGTCACCAAAGTCACCTCTCCAGAATATGAAGTTGATCAAGTTATTTACTCATCTGATTAAGATCCTTCTATAGGTCCTGCAACCCACAGGATAAAGTCTCTCTCTGAGCTGAGAATTCACAACCTGGCCCTAACCTTTCCTGGCTTCTCTCCCAGCAACTCCTGCAAAATTCTGGTCTGACCCCTAGACACCCATGCGCACCCGCTTGCCTGGGGGCTGCAGTGCTTCCTCCTTTGGCCGGAAGCCTTTTCTCCCTTTATCCAGCAGGCAGCTCCCTTCCTTTCTTGGCCAGGGCCACCCGAGCAAAGGCACCTGTTCCATTGAATGTGTTCCCACAGCCCTCTGTACCCACCACAACTACATCATACTGCATTAGTTAATCATTTATTTATTTGTCTTTCACTAGTCTACAAACTTCTAGACTGGGGGTTCTCCCTGACCTCCTTAAGGGTAAGGTCAGGATTAAATCTTTACATCCCAGGGACTTGGTAGAACAATTCCAGAAAGGCTCAATAAAAAAAATTTTTAAAAAGAAAAAAGAAAAAAAGAATGTCCCTGCCACTTTTATTCATGTCCTCTTTTTTCTGTAAATAGAAACTAAAAAAATTAGTAGATATGTCAAAGCAATGAACCTAAGTTTTCTTTTAAAAGTCACCCAGCAAATTATTTTAAAGAGTTTAATAAAAACTAAAATCTCCCTTAATTATTGATTTGTGCTTCCTGTTAGAAATTAGTCACAGCTCTTTGTTTTAAAGTACCTTTTAAAATAATGGATATCAAAGACAGAATGAATATACCACTTAACTAAAGTAACTGTAGTCATCACCATATAAATCACTATTAGATGCCAATGGAATGAGTCACAGTTATTATTTATACAACTAAAAGATCACAAACAAAATTACTTCACTGAAAAACCTGTCCATCTATATCCCCTTATCACGTAACATTTCTGCATGGTAGTTAAGAACATAAGCTGGAATCACAATGCTAGTTGTGTGACTTGGGGCAAATAACCTAAATTTCAATGTGCCTCAGTTTCCTCATCTATAAAACAAAGATGATGAAACCGCCCACTTCACAATGTTTCTGGGTGACTGAGCACTTAAAAGTCCCTTGGAACAGTGCCTGGCAGAGTAAATGTGCAATGATGTATGTCAACTGTGAACGTATAGTTGTTGTTTTCTCACAACAGTACAATGAGATTTTTTGGACAAAGTCACTATACCCATTTCAGAGATAAGGTACCATCAGAGAGGTTATATGATTTCCCTAAGCTATGTTAAGAGGCACAGTTGGAACTGGAAACTGGAACTGTCTTAAAGCGAATAATCTTCTTTTACTCTCAAACATGTAACAGTTTTGCAAAAAGGACTTTCATCAAGTTTTCAAGTTTTTTGAGAACTAACCCAACTAGTGATATTTCATGACATGAATAGATACTATTTCATCTCCCTAAGACCTTCACCAATACTTATTTTCAATACTTTTCCGGGCTTAACCTGAATTTCAATCACCAGTCTTAATCTCGGCCGCGTGCACATGGAATATAGTAAATGAGATTCGAAGGCAGATGCGATGCTCCCGATGGACCCACCTGAGCCAGGAACCAGGCAGCAAAACATCACGACAAGGACCCCGAAGCGCCCTATCTTTACCTTTCCTCGCGTCAAACGGGCCAGACAAGTCAGGAGACACCTTACTGATCAGACTTGACATCGGCCCCTAAGGCCTCCCTTTCCCTTCCTGGCACCGCCACTCGGGGCACCTCCAGGCGGGCGTCTGGCACCTGGAGAACACACAGACGAGGCAGCGCCCGCCCTGCCCTCGCTGGGCAGCTCCCGGCCCCGACCTCGGCACAGCGGGCCTAACGGCGGCGGCGCGCCCCCCGTGCTCGGGGCGGGGCCTCTG